AATGAGAAAAGAGATTTAGAATTTATCCTCACACTTATGTTACAGCATCCCAGAGGTGGTATTCAGCAGGTTCTGACCAGTTCTGGAGAACCAGTAGCAGAAATTTTGAGTAGTTTGGAGAACTGGCAAATACCACCTCTGACTGGCCCCACCCTCATCTATTCTCTGCCTCCCATTGAGTCCCAGCTGATTGGCTGGGTCTTCTTTGGTTGCCCTGCACAGGAGAACGGAGCTGGAAAGCAGGTTAGTGGGGTGGGGAGGTAATGGGGATTTTGCAGTATTCTTCCCCTGCCACACCCATCACACCACGCCCACCAAGCCATGCCACACCCACAAAACTGGTAGTAAAAAAATTTGAATCCCACCACTGCAGCATCCCCATGGTCACATAATGAAAATTCGGGTGCTTGACAATCCGTGCATATTTATAATAGTTGCAGCATCCCAGGGTCATGTGAGCACCATTTGTAACCTTTCAAGCTTGCTTCTGACAAGCAATAGGGGAAATTGGATTTGCTTAAGGATTGCACGATTTACCGAACAACTGCAGTGATTTGCTTAACTCTGGCAAGGGGGAAAAAGCTGTAAAATTGGGTGCCGCTCACTTAAATGCCTTGATGCCAGTGATCCCAATTACTGTCATAAATCGAGGACTATGTATAAAGCTTATCCTGTAGGCTTTTTAAAGCAAGTACTAATTTTGGCTGAGCTTGGACTATAAGCAGGTGCAGCCACGATTCCCTTCGAAGTTGAAAACTCTCAGAAGGTGGCAGTGTGAACTTCTTCCACACGGTTGGCAAGAACACTACATGGATGTGTCTATTTTTAATATACGGTATTCAAATGTAAGTTCAACAGCCCTGGAGATAACCACAACAATGCAGCTTCAACTTGCTCAATTTCCCAGTTTAACCCTGGAGGGAACTAATCGTTTTATGACTCAGGCTGAGGCAAAGATATTCAGCACGTGTCACAGAGCTTCTCTCAAGTCACAATTACTCCAAAGGTACTGAAAACTTGGTTGATGAACTTTGCTTCTCATGTGGAGGACCTTCGCCCAGTCCACCATGCGTGTTTCAAATGCTTGTTAGTTAAAGTAACCATCTTCTAATAAAACCATGTCAGCATGCTGGCTGAGGAATTCTGAGAGTTGAAGACCACATATCTTAACATTGCCAAGTTTGAAAAACACTAATTTAAATCATCTTAGTTTTAAAAAGTTTACAAGATATTCTAGTCTAAAATATATTTGGGGAGGTCCCCAAGGTGCTTTTTCAGGAGGCAGTTGGACTTTCTTGTTTTTTTCTTTTGAAGACATTTTGCTTCTCATCCAAGACTCTTCTTCAGCTCTGACAGGATAGTGTGGAATGGAATCCTGTCAGAGCTGAAGAAGCTTCTTGGATGAGAAGCAAAACCTCTTCAAAAGAAAAAAACAAGAAAGTCCAACTGCCTCCTGAAAAAGCATCTTTGGGACAACCATGGTCTGGAATGCCTGAGAACCTCTACAGACATATTCGGGGAGGGCCCTCGGAGGCCTTTCTTTGCTGCCCTCTAGCGATCGCTCAGATTTTCATAGTCCCTATCCGGGTAGTTCTGCTTTATTATACATCTACATTATGCGAATAGTTGCTGCCATTTAGCAGATGATAGATAAGCAAAAGAGCTTCGCAAAGGTTAAAAGCCACTTCCACAAATTATTCTGCCTCTTCCCCCGCCTCCATCAGGGCATTTCAATGACTTTAGATGACGTAATAGCAAGCAGAGCAATTCCGCGTCTACATGAGCTTGAAGTTTCGCCCATTTCCGCCTCCCGTCGATTATGTTCGACACCTTTCGGTGAACGCGAGCAACTCCGAATCGGGTGTTTTCGGCTTTCTCCGGAATTTACACAAATCGCCTCGGTCCTGTTAGGGGGAACTCTCGTTTTAGCTTTCACCGTAGGGGTAGAAAAATAAATAAATAATGACAAATCAATTATTTTCTTATTTCCGGTAGATAATGGGTTTTTCCCCCTGCATGTTGGAAGTGGCAAAATCTTGCCACGGGTTGCTTCTTTCTATACCAAGCAAATGTTGGCATTGCATATTTTACAAAAGAAGAGGCAGGATTTACTACTAGGATATATTGCTCTGTTGTCTTAAGCACCAGGTTTCCACGCATCTTCCACCCACGGCTCCTTCCCTACAGGGAAAACCTTCACCCTTGGCGTGATTAACCCTGGAAGAAAGACCAGCATTGCTCAGTGGCAAGTAAGACCTCTAATAGCATTAGCTGCTTCAAATCCCAGCATTATGCCAGCGAAATCCTGGCTAAGAAAAACCTTATTCCCACGATTACATAATTTAAAAAAGCCTTGCCCGGAAGCAACCCAGTTCTACTGTTCTGTTGTCCCCAGTTTGGGTCTGAGCCTGGTGCTGAAGCCAATGATGGATGCCAGACACGAGGTGCAGATTTTCTGATTGCTTTTTATTGGAGCACTCCTGGAAAAGGGCTCCTGGCCTAAATTCCAAGAACCAAGAACAAAGGATTAAGTAAGCTTTATACATTTTCACAAAAGGAGAAGGCAGGACAAGGCAAGATAATAAGAAATATCATCTAATAAACATTTTAGTAATAATTCTACAATTTGTTCGATTGGTCTCTAGCTGTCCCTATTCCTAAGCCTTGGCTAATGAATGCCTCAGGAGTTATCTAATACACATTTTATTTGCTGCAGGCCATCTCTATGCCTAACTTTTAGCTGAGGTCTGCAAGTTGCCAAATTCTTGTTACTTTTATCAGCTTTCTAACTACCCAGAATTGTTACAAGCTTTACACTTATTTTCTGTGGATAAGCATTCTTTGTTCTTGCCAGGCAGACTTCATAATTAGTCTTCCTGATTTACTTTCAAGTGTGTGCCATGACCTGGCTTTATTTTAGGAGACAGACCATCATCCCCCCACTTTTGAATCTGAAAATGATTTGATTTTCCAAGATGCACCCAACATCAATATCCATGTACTGGGAGACCCCATAGCTTGCTTACAGGTGGAAAGGCAAAGAGGGCTGTGAAAATATTAACAGACCCTGGACATAAACTGTTTCAACTCCTACCCTCAAAACGACACTATAGAGCACTGCACACCGAACAATTAGACACAAGAACAGTTTTTTCCTAGAATGCCATCACTCTGCTAAACAAATAATTTCCTCAATACTGTCCAACTATTTACTAAGGCTGCATTACTAATCAGCTAGTGGTAATAACTGGGTAACTCCAGGGGTGGGATTCCACCAGTATAACAACCGGTTTGGTGATCGCACGCTTTGTATCTTTTCTTTTGTGTACACTGAAAGCATTTGCACCAAGACAAATTCCTTGTGTGTCCAATCACACTTGGCCAATAAAGAATTCTATTCTATTCTATTCTATTCTATTCTATTCTATTCTATTCTATTCCTTGCTAATTTTGAGATATTAGGAGGATTAGATACAGGGATCAAAGGCAGCCCTTTCTCATTATTGTCTGGCCTCAAATTCCCTTGAACAATCCAGGTGATTTTTGGCTGTTTCAGGGACCTCATAATATGGGACTTTTTGAGCAACTAAAAGCAATATTGGAGAGCAAAAGAGACAGACAGAGATACAATATTTTGGTTTATTTGTGAAACTTGTTAATAGTGCACTTCTGTAAGAGGAGTGCAGAGATAGTGTATATGTGTGTCTATGTTGTGTTATTTCCAAGACTTGGGAGAGGAGCAAGACCCTCTCATAACAATAAACAAAAAGGCATTACTATTACTATCATTATCATTATTATTATTATTATTATTATTATTATTATTATTATTATTATTATTATTATTATTATTATTATTATTATAAAAGGATTTGGAAAAATGGAGCTCATTGGCTTGTGAAAGCTCCCTAAAATAATGATAATAATGATTGGTTTACCTGGAGAAACTATGAAAGGAGATATTTGTATGTGGATTTCTTTTATGTGAGCGGTTTGAATGGAGGATAAATGTGTAAGTATGCTGACGTGTAAATGCCTGTGTGTGTTGACTCCCTATTCCTAAACTGTGAAAGGGGTTAATTATTTTGATTCCCTTTCTTATAAAGAAACCCAGTGCTTCTCTGGTTATACTGGAGGACTGAGACTGGTCTGCCACCCCCTACTCATGGAGTGGGGCGGCCCAGACAAGGAGTTCCTAGAGAAGTGGGGAGGCTGAAGAATAATGTAATCAAACAGTAAATGGCTCTTGTGACATCCCATTCAGTTCAAAACTGAAACCGGAGATGCAGACTCCACTTAGAGAAAATACAGTGGTAGGAGGAGGAAAAAGATTCAGTTGAGTGCTAGTTTATGCACCCTTTTCTATTCAGACCTTTTTAACTGGAAGTAATAAAATCCCAGTTGTAGGGAAGACCCAGAGAAAATGCATTCTCTGTTCTTATCTATTATTATAAGGATACATAACCCCATTTGGGCAGAGATTCAGACAATGATGGATGTCCTTTTAACCCCAGACCAGAGGAACAGAGACTGGTGAGGGGAAGCAATGGAGTGGCAGTTTAAAAAAAAAAAAAAAAGCATGAGAATGACAACTGCTGGAAATGCCCCCTCACGGAGCCAGAATGGGATCTGGATGATAATGGGGACAATATGAGGCTACAGAATTCGCAATCTTTAGTCTTCTATGGAATCCAAAATGGAGAGAATCTTACAAAAGTATATGAAATAAGGCAAAAGAAATGAACAGAACAAACTATCAGTAGACAAAAAGAAAGCTTGGTATCGCTGAGAGTGTTATTTATTAATTTACTGCGGGAGGGAAAGGAAGCCCACAATCCAACTTTTGCAGACAAAAGGACGAATTTGCCTTTTTTCGATCCTTCGGACGCGCTCGGGCAGAGACTCGTTTCTTTCCGGCAATAGCGTTCTCTCTCTCTCTCTCTCTCTCTCCGAAGCAGAGACTTCGGTTATTCTCGGGCTTGGTCGTCAACTCTCGGCCCTTCCCGGTTTTCCCTCTTTCCCTGGGTTGCAGCTGCGTTCCCAGCGCCAAGAGCTGGCTGGAGCGAGGAGGGGGAGCCTTAGGAGAAACGGGACCGCTTCATGGGCAAAAGGTAAGTTTAGGGGTGCGGGGGGAGGGAGTTTAACTTGATCGTTCCACATAGGAGGACCCCCCACCCTTTTTATGCAGGGAGAATTGATGGCCAGTCTTTTCCCAGCTCCTCGGTGCATTGCAAAAACCCTTCCCGGGGGTGTGTGCGAAATTTGTGCCATGCAAATCCACCATTTCCAGTCGTTGCCGGGGGAGGGGGGGCAGATTCGATGTGGGGAGGGGAGAGAAAAAAGAAGGGGCGATTCTCTGTGCTGTATTGCAGCCGTCGACTCTGGGTGCCCGGGGGTGGAAATAAGTCTCTGCCTCGGCTTTGGAAACAAAATTAAAATAAGGTTTATTTGGGGGAAATGGGCGCTAGGAAGAAAGTGGGGGGCGGAACTCTGCGATAAGGAGTGGAGGGGGGGATTTCTGCTCAAATTATTATTTTTTCTGTGCTACTTCCTTCCCGCTCCCCATCTGTGGAAAAAAAAAGGAGGGGGGACTTGTGCATTCCTGTCCCTTTTAATGTACTTGAGCTCTGCGCTGGTACTGTAATGCCCTCGCCAGCCCAGAAGGTACAATACATTTTAAAAAACATTTTTACAAGAGGAAATCGCTTGCAGGAGGGGGAAACCTGACAGTTGAAGTGAAGTTGGGGAGGGGGGAGACCAAGACCTAGCTTTGTGTACCCTCCTCTGTGGCTTTTGTGGTGGGAAGAGCAGGAAGCTGCTAAGTGGGGTCTGATGATCTCTAGAATTTGAATCTGGTTCTTGAACCCAAGACTGATGGGGCAAGAGCAGCTGCCTTCACCCTCTCAGGATTTCCAAGTTTAAAGGATTTCCAAGTTTAAATTAAAAAAAAGTGGGGGGGGGAGGTGATATTCCTCCCTAGTGAATAATGTATTGCTTTTCTTTAAAAAAAATAACAACCCAGAATTCATCTCTTTATGAAGTTGAAATGAGGCATCATCTTTTGAGTTTCCTTTTTGGTGGTCTTCCATGGTTCAAGAAAAAAAAAGGGGGGGAAGCAAATATTTCCAGGCTTTGCAGGCACAAGCCATTATTTTGAGTGATCCTGGTTTCTATAACGTTTTGGGGCCTAGCAGGCGGCTTTTGCCTTACTGTGTGGAAATTGTAGTGGTGCGTGTAGAAATTGTGGTGGTGCAGGATCTTTTTCCAATCTGATTTCAGCTCTTTTGGCCATGCCAGTGTGCGTTGTTGCAACCTTTGCCCCCAAGTTGGTTGCCGCCTCTTTTGGACCAGCCTTCTTAAACTTGCTGCTATCGCTGAGATTGCAATTGTCAATCTTTTCATGGGAAATGCCGGGGTCAAGAGGGTTATCTGCTGTATTTGTCATTTCTACTTGATTTTCAAAGTCGGTCTAATCTTATTTTGCATCCTTCCCCCTGGAACTACAATGGGATTTCCTTATCCAGCGTTCATACAGCGTCTACATCAAGAATCTAGTCCTCAGTTTTAAAAGTTTATTCCTTTTTAATCCCTGATTAGGGCTCCTCCTCTTCCTGCTCCCTGTATTTTCATAAGCTCACCTGCCAACAAAGCTGTTCTCAGCTCCTCAGCAACTCCATTTTCCTCAGGATCCTTCCTTAAAGCTCCTAGGGCCACCTTCCCTATTCCCACAGCCTGTACCCATCCAACATGGATCTGACTCTGGTAAAATTAAGCCCTCTGGGCAAGAGACTGTACCCCTTTTGTGTCTTGCATGCACCTGGCGCTTCCTTCAGCACAAATCCTGGATGAGCTGCCACATCTGTCGTAAAAAGTTGGGCTGGAGGAGCTGCCTCCCCGAGCAGGCTTATTCTGAACAGCAGCAGCTGCTGCCCACATTCCAGGCTGCATCTGGCACAGCCAAAATGTCGCTCGCTCAAGCGAGCTTTTTCCCCCAGGAGTTTCAGTTGCTTTTCTCCCTTTTGCATCCTGCAAAGACGGGCATCTGAACCATGTTCCTTCTCTGTTTCAGAAGGGGCCTGTGTCAAAAAACAAAACAAAAAAAACAACACTCTTTTCTCTTTTCAGTGCACCCTGAAAGTTATTTGCAGTACAGGTAGTCCTTGACTTACAACCTTTCATTTAGTGACTGTTTGAACTTACAATGGCACTGAAAAATGTGACTTAGGACCATTTTTCATACTTATGACCATTGGCATAGTCCCCCATAGTCACGTGAAGAAAATTCAGATGCCTGGCGACTGGTCCATATTTATGACGGTTGCAGCCTCCCAGGGTCACATGATCACTTTTTGCAGCCTTCTGACAAGCAAAGTCAGTGGGGAAGCCAGATTTACTTAACAGTTGTGTTACCAACTTAACAATTGCAGTGATTCACTTAGCAGCTGTGGCAAGAAAGGTCATAAAATGCGGCAAAACTCAGTTAACAACTGTTGCGCTTAGCAATAGAAATTTTGGGCTTAATTGTGGTCATAAATTGAGGACTACCAGTATTCCATCCCTGGCAAGTTAAAATAAGTGACTCTTAGGACATAGTTGAAGAGGATTGTGAGCAGAAATGAAGCCGTTAGACAGAAGGTCAAAAAACCTGGTGACCTTAGTTGATTTGAGCTTCAGTTGTCTTCAGTGCCAACCAACATGGTTTCAAGGCAAGAGCATTTGTGCATTGAAGAAACCGAATCCACAGGGCTCTATGGGTTACCCATCTGCATACTAGAATGTCTAACGAGAGCATAAAATTTGGAGTCTCCCCAAGTTTATTTTAGGGAGTGAGGGATGTCAGGTTTCAGTGATTATTCTGCACTAAATTAGAAACTGTGAACAAAGAGCCAATTTCAGATGCAACCCATATGGACTTAATTAAAGTAGAACTATTAAATATGCTGAGGAGAGTGAGGCCCACTTCATGAGCTCTGGAAGGGTCAGAGGAGGATACTGTAAAGCCACAGGATAGTCAAAGATATTTGACTATATTTGGATAGTCAAAGATATTGTAGGAAAAAAAGCCATGTTCATCCGTAATATCAAAAAATCAGAAGGAATCTAAGAGCACCTTTTCAGACTAACAGACTTGATTAAAAGGCATAAGCTGAAGGTGAATCTGATAGTGACCTACAGCTCACTGAAACCTATGAGTTTTTATTAGATATGTTCATCTGAAAAGGTGCCTTTAGACTCCTTTTCATTTTGGAATATTAACATTTGAAGAAAAAGTCCCCTGGACACATTTGAGATCTATAACAGAGGTGTTCATCTTTGGCGACTTTAAGACTTGTGGCTGGCTGGGAATTCTGGGAATTGAAATCCACAAGTCTTAAAGTTGCCAAGAATGGACACCCCTGGCCTAAGTATTCCTGGTTCACTTTCTCAGATCAGCAGCCAAGAAAAGAGCTGTAAGTATAACTAGCCACCATTTTCATTAAGGTTGGTGACAGAGAAGAGGGGCATAGAGAGGATCCATCTTTGGTGTTCTGGATTATAAAATGGACGCCAAAAGCAAGTTTAAAATAGCTCCTGAATGGGATTCTCACATTCCTACAGTTGCTCCTTCCAAGTGGATGAACTGGGTTACTTAATGGATGTCTATGGGACGACATTTTGCCATTTTAAAAATCTCTTTGAGAGTAGCCATGGATTTATATTAAATTCTGTGAAACCAAAGATGTGCATCGTCCAGATATTTGGTATTTAACTTTGATTTACATAATTCTCAGCAGTGTTGGAGTTTGAAATCAGTAGGGGAGATAGCCAGGTGGGCAAAGGCTAAATTAGGAAAGGAGGGAAATATATTGACTGTAACTAAGTAAATCATCAAGGTGCTGCATTTTTAGTGAGATTTGGAGGCCCTCCTGTTAACCAAAGCCAATCAATTCAAAACAACATATATTAAGAACTTGGGAAGGATCTTCCCAGATTAGATTAAAAGGCCTGTTGATAGTTTGTTTTCTTGACAGTGGTATGACATTAGTTTGCCATGTTTTTTTTTTATTTTACCGTCTATGTTAGCATATACCTGGAATCATCTACCATCCAAGTACTAATCTGGTCAACCATGATAGATAATGCTGAGTCTTTAGACCTGGGCTCCCCAAACTTGGCAACTTTAAGACTTGTGGACTTCAACTGGCTGGAAAATTCTGGGAGTTGAAGTCCACAAGTCTTAAAGTTGCCACGTTTGGAGACTTCTGCTTTAGACAGTGGCCAAACAGAATAGTCCCTGGGAAGCTCAAACACTCACAAAGAAGTAACATTGTCTACTTTTTTATGTAAGAGAGACTCTAAGGTACACCGACACAAGAGCTGGAAGTTTAATTTAACCATACTGATTATTATTGCCGTTGTTGATTCCAGACCTAACTCATTTTTTTACCCCAACCCATTCTTTATCCATAGAGCATTTTTCTAAGGATAATGCAATGTTGTACTTGTACGGGTTGGCCTGGAGGAAGGGCTGATGGGAGATAGCGTTCCCTGGGATAGAGATTTCCAAGGCACAATAGGGCAGAAGTTCCTCTTGCCGCCGCCTTCAATCTCTTCCCTGGACTTGGTTCAAATTTTACAAATGTGCATGTTTGTGTATGGGGTGTGTGTGTGAGAGAGAGAGAGAGAGAGAGACACGCACACAGAGAAAGAGAACATGCGAGAGAGAGCTATTGGTTGAAAGAGGGGAGAGTGAAAGAGAGATGAATTCCAGGCTTCTGTTCCCAGTACAGTGTGAACTTCTAATGCCCTTCTCTGCGGCTTGCTCCAAGTCTCTCCAACAACCATTTTTTAAAAATGTCCTAAATAAATCCATTGTCATACATTTTCTAGCCTGCAAGAAAAAACTGAGAACTGGGAGCAGAAAAACTTGAGATATCCATCTTAAAAGGGAGAAAGGAGGTAAAACTTTCCTTGTTCATAAAGGACAGGCTGGGAATTGAGATGGCTTTGAGTTGCAGTTGAGAAATCCTATCTTTGTTTTCAGAGATTCACTTGAGAACAAAACTGGTCAGGTCTCTGGCCACTATCATGCGCATCTGGCTGCTTTTATTCCCAATCTTTTGGACTCTTGTTAGTGTGCTTTGTGAAGCGAAGAGCTGGTCACCCCCTGGCCTAACAACAGGGGTTGCTTGTTCTGAGAAACATGACTTGGGATCAAAGTACCTCATGATTACCTCAGAGCAATGTTTCTTATCTTAAGTTTTCCTGGCTGTTTAATATACCTGGAGAAAGGTTTCTGGCACCTAAGATGGCTATACAGGTAGTCTTTGACTTACTGCCACAATTGAGCCACCTTCTTTGCCATAGTTGTTAAGTTAATCACTACAGTTAAGTTAGTACCCACTGTTGTTAAGTAAATCCAGCTTCCCCATTGCTATTTGTTTGTCAGAAGGTCTCAAAAGGTGGTCCTAATGACCCAATGACTCTGCAACCGTCACAAATGTGAACCAGTTGCCAGACATCTGAACTTTGATCATGTAACCATGGAGATACTGCAACAGTTGTGTGAAAAATGGTCGTAAGTCATCTTTTTCGCTTCTGTTGTAACTTTGGATGGTAATTAAAAGTGCAGAATACCCGTACTAGGACTTGTCTGTCCTTCCATTTTTGCACAACTGTATTTCTAAGACCTTTTCGCATTTTTATTGAGACCTTCCCCTTCCCATTACTTCCTTTCTGCTGTCTCTTTATTATCAAAAGTGCTATTAGTTTATCAGAATATAAAATACAAAGGAAAAGGAAAATAATGGGAAACTGGGAGAGAGGGAAAACAAAAGTAGATTAGAAAGGGAAAAAGAAAAAGGCATTGACTTCTTTTTAGCACAGTAGAAGATAATATTACAACTTCTACTTTTTACTTTTATACAATAATATATGCTAGCCATTTTTATAATAATGAACCTATCTAATCAGCAAAACCAAAATCAAGTTTCATTTTCTTAATTACAAGCACACAATCCAGAAGCAGTTTCCAAATAAACCAAATTAGATATATTATTTTCTTTGAATAAAACAATTTAACCGTCTACTTTTTTCCCTTGGTGTAGAAAATAATACATATTTCTATTTGCACTATTCTATGAGGATAAGCTGAAAGGAGTGACTTAAATTTACTGAGTTAATTGGAGTTATAGGGTAGATAGTTACTGGTCTGATATTGAAATAAAGTTCTAATGTAGCTTTGTATTTGTAAAGTGGGTTTGAAAATGTGGTTTTTTTCATTATATGTAATGCTTGAGTAATTCCTAAAGCTTATAAATATTATTAAAAATGTATTTGAAAGTATGTTAAGTCTAAAAAAGATGTATTAGAATTTAATGATTTTACAAAAATTATTAAAGAAAAGTTTTAAAATAGGATGTTGAGAAAAAGTTTTTCCCCCTTTAAGGTTAAAGAATCTGAAAGACTATAGTGAATTTTGCTAATACGTGAATGATAATCCTTTCTGTTGTCTCAGTCGAATTTTTGTCTGCTGTTTCCTTGTTCTTGGTATTTTTCTCTTTCAGTCATGCTGTGGTGCTGAGCTCCATTTCTGTTAGCTGCTTGGGACACTTCCTAAAATCAAATATAAGTCTTAGCCCTCTTACTAAGGAAGCGTGTCTGAGTGATGGTCTCCCTTCCTCTACCTTTTCCAGAGTCCTGCGCATCACAACTTCTTCCTGAACACCTTTGAGATCCTGAGCTGTCATTTGCCTCTCCTCCCCAGCTCACCTGCCAGTGCTGGATTATGCTCGTCACGTTCTCCCTTTGCTTCATCATCTGGTTGAATCGTGGCTTCAAGTTACGGGAACGACGGGGCTGTACTTAGGGCCCGGCCGTTCATGCCAGCAGACCCAGGGAACTTTCACCTTCATGCAGAGCTCTTGAGAGGGAAGTGGGACAGCCAACCTCAGCCCACCCCTCTTTTCCACTTTTTTCCTCGCCGGTGCATTTGCTTGGTTTTTTCCAGGGGACTATGGGGAGCACCGAAGGCTTCCAGTATCGGGCCCTCTACCCCTACCATAAGGAACGCAACGAAGATATCGATCTGTTACCCGGGGACACCTTGGTGGTGAGCAAGGGGGCCTTGCAGGCCCTGGGCTTTAAGGATGGAGATGAGCAGATGCCGAACCAAATTGGCTGGATTCTAGGGGTCAATGAGCGCACCAAACAAAAGGGGGATTTCCCGGGCACCTATGTGGAGTATGTGGGGCCAGTGAAAATCTCCCTCCCGTCCCATCGTCCCAGGGTCACCAGGCCCCTGCCCGCCACTCCTGGAACAGGGGCATCCCACGCTCCGGAGGAACAGGGTGAGTACCTGTGTCAGGGTGCAAAGTGAGAGGAAGGGCTTGCAAGGGGGAGGAAGAAAGTGAACCATTGTGGCTTCAGGTCAGGCTTTTGAAGAACGCTGTTCCCGAAACGTCCAGTCCAAGGAAGTCTACCAACAACAAGAACAACACCATTCATTGTTCTGCTCCAACCAGTTTCCTAGTTCCTGTTGGCTGGACTTGCCATCTTCCCCCACAGAGCGAGTAGGTAGGCCCAGCTGCTCTCGGTCTCCTGAGCGGGAACAGCCCCGAGGCTTGAGATGCCCTGCCCAGAATAAGGGGCATTTGCAGAGAGGTGATGCCTGGATGCACACTTGAAGCCAGCAACCAGTGTGGCCTCAAATTATGGGCTTCAGTGTCATGTGCAGTAACTACCACATCAAAGGGCAGAGAGGCGTTTTAGGTTGTCTGAAAGCTAGCCAAGGGAGACCATTTTTCTTATTAGGCTTCCCAGCCTTTAGCCAGTGCAGAAGAGGAAGTCCTGCCAGGATATGTTGTTGTTCCGTTAAATCGTAAAATCTATTTATATGGGTTTTTTTTTTTAATGGACTAACCAGGTACTAAAGGATATCTTTATTTGTGTAAAAACGCTTATAAATAATGCCAGAAGCAAGGATCTTAGGCACATGAAATTAAATGGTTGATGGATGGAGACTTCCCAATTTGGCACTTTCCAAAAAATGGGAGGGTTGGAATTTCCAGCTGGCTAAGCTGGGATGTGGTCATTAAAAATACATTAAAAAACAGGTAGTGTTTGATTGTAGCCCCTGTCTTGAGTGTTTTTGACTATATAATGTGGATATCCTCCTATGGCTAAGAATTTTGGGAGTTATAGTCCATGGCAGAATGGAGGGTGTCTGGTTAGACAAGGTTGGTCTAAAGCAGAGGACTCCAAACTTGGGAACTTTAAGATTTGTGGACTTCAACTCCCAGAATTCTCCAGCCACATAGTATAGCTGGCTGGAGAATTCTGGGAGTTGAAGTCCACAAGTCTTAAAGTTGCCAAGTTTGGGGACCGCTGGTCTAAAGCCTAACTAAAGAGAAGTTTTCTTTAAACAGCTATCAGTTTTTCTCTCTATATACAGATAGTCTTCAACTTGCAACCATAATTGACCCGAAAATTTATGTTGCTAAGTGAGAAATTTGTTAAGTGAGTTTTGCCCCATTTTCCGACCTTTATTGCCACATTTATTGCCACATACTCTACCCGACTCTGTAGTTTCTTCCCCAAACCCCAAAAACTTTAACCTTAGACTGTCTACTATTGACCTCACCCCTTTCCTAAGAGGTCTGTAGGGAGCGTGCATAAGTGCACCAACGTGCCTACCGTCCCTGTCCTATTGTTTCTCTTATTCTTCTTTTATTTTTCTTATATGTACCCATTTCATGTATTCACAACTATGTATACACTTACACTTATTATCTTGTAAACAATTGGCAAATCAAATAAATAAATAAATAAATAAATTTGTTAAGTGAATCACTGCATTCTTAAATCAGCAAGATGGTTGTTAAGTGAATCTGGTTTCCCCTTTGATTTTACTTGTCAGAAGGGGGCAAAAGACTCCAGGACACCGCAACCGTCATAAATGTGAATCAGTTGTCAGGCATCCAAATGTAAATCACATGACTGTGGGGAGGCTGAAACAGTCGTAAGTGTGAAAAATGACTATAAGTCACTTTTTTCAGTGCTGTTGTAACTTTGAATGGTCACTAAATGAACTGTTGTAAGTTGAGAACTACCTGTAAATGTTTTCTTCCTTTCCCACTACAGGTAGTCCTTGACTTACAACAGTTCATTTAGTGACCATTCAAAGTTACAATAGCCCTTAAAAAAAGTGATTTGTGATCATTTTTCACATGACCATTGCAGCATTCTCATGGCCATGTGATCAAAATTTAGACACTTGGCAACAGTGTTTGTGACCTTCTGACAAGCAGTCAGTGGGGAAGCCAGATTTACTTAACGACCATGTTACTAACTTAACGACTGGAATGATTCACTTAACAGCTACAACAAGAAAAGTCACATAATGGGGCAAAACTCAACTGTCTTGCTCAGGAACAGAAATTTTGGGCTCAATTGTGATTGCACGCCAAGAACTATCTGTACCTGAATAGCCCACATCTTTGGGAGATAATGATAATTACAATATCCTTCCTGAAGTTGTAAAACCTTTGTGGCTCCTGCTGCTTTTCATAATGAATGACTCAGCTTTCTTTTTTTCACATGTGACTTACTACTAATATAATCCTTGGTGGGTTATGGGCTGAGCTCTCTCTGAACCTCAGTCTCTCTGCCTTGCTTAGTGACTCTTTTTTACTTTTCGGCTGGCCCTAAAAGGTCTGGACGGGTTGTGAGAAAATACAATAATCTGGGTGCAGTGTTGCCAGTTGAGGTAAATATTTCTAGGAAGATGTTTTGTTTCTTCTCCTTAGCAAGGCAGGTGTGAGATTTTTTTTTTTTGGTTTAAAATCACCACATTGGAGACATTGAAAATAATTTTCAAAAACTTTCTGCATCCATCTGTGAGCAATGGTGGGTGGGAGTGGGAATAGTTTAAGCACTTGCTGGGGAAAAAAAAGAAATAAATAATAATAGCACTCAGAAGCAAAAAGTTCTCTTGGCTCATTTCCCCCCTATTTTCCCTTTAAAAAAAATCTTATGAAGGTAGCTTGGAGAACAGAAACAGAATTCTTTACAGACAGCCAAAATCAGCTTTCTTTCCCGTTTCCTTTTTCATCAGCTAATTTTCATTGAAGAAGAGAGGCCCAATGCTAAACCATTGGACGGGGGAAATGGCCAGCTTGGTGTATGCATTTTACACACACACACACACACACACACACACACACACACAGCCCCAGATAAAGGAGCGTGCATGCATGCACACACTGTTTCACAATCAGGAATGTGCTGACTTGACATTCTCCGGCTGAGCCAGAGGATTTGACGCTGTCGGGCTCGGGGGCCAGAGCTGGCCCAAGGCCAGCTTGCAAGGAAAATGCCTGGGAGTTTTTCTGGACTTTTTTGAGTGGGGTGACTGATGGTGCTTTAAAAGAGGTAGGAATAGGTTTAAAATTCCTTTTTCTTACTTACAGAGTACAAAGTAGAGCCCAGGGCAGCTGCAGAGGGCACTCCTGGCCAGGAGGAATTGGCACCTGTTTTACAAGTGAAGCCAACTGATTGCAGATGCCCAGTTGAGTCTGGAAAAACCAGACCTTATTTAAATAAAATCAGGAGAATTGGCAGGTCATAGTGGAAGCTCCCTGCCACTTCTCGGAGATTATAAATGTATAAATACAAAGATTAAAAATTCTGGCCCTTAGCATCTGGACAGGTTCCACCTTTATGATCTTCCAGCTTTTTTATTTTACGTGGAGTTCATTAAAAATGTGTGTTGTCTTTTGACTCCTTAGAGCAATCGATAATCTTTGCAACAATCGTTCAAAAACATGCCAGTGTTATTATCCCAAATTGCAGTTGGAAGGATCCTAATCCCAGGGTCACTGATTGGCTATGTTTACACAACATACTTTACCCTAAATTTGAGATAGCAATGTCCCACATACTGCCCTCATATAAACCTGTTTTGCTTCCTGTGATGACCATGTCCCACAACTCATTAAGACAATCAGTAGATCATGTCCCATATCACGCTGATTCACAAACTTTGCACGTCATTTGAACCTAATGTCATGAGTTGTAGGAACCCAGCCTTGATTCTGTTCATTCCTTTCGTTGTTATTCTGTATTAATAATAATAGGCCACAGTAACTGTATTAATAATAGGTTATCCCTGCACATATTTAATTGTCAAATTTTTCTTACGACTAATGAAACCTGGAAATTTTGGCCGTAATTCGTGATGGTCATAAAGCAAGTTTCCATGTGACCATACCTGATTGTACGGCCTTTTTTTTGCAGTAGTTGTAAAGAAAATGCTATGGTCATTTAACGAATACCACGCTGGTTAAGTAAATCCATTGTTCATTATGTGGCTTTTCCCCCCAGAAACAAATTTAGAGCAAAGTATCTTGTGTAAATATAGCCCAAATGCTGGATTTTAGCAAAAACATTATAAATGCAATGACATGACCACGGGACAGAGCCATAAATGCGGGCCAATTGCCAAACATGCCAAAAATGGGCATGTAACCGTGAGGGGTATGGGTGTTGGAACTTCAAATTCAGATTAGATTTTTAAATAGCTTTTTTGGGGTATGCTACCATTTAAAAGTTCACTAAGCAGCTAGTCATATGTCTACTCTTGTCACAAATGTGACTGGGCAACATATAATAAAACAGTTAATAACAGGTATAAACAATTAGAAATGATTAAACATATCCATTTTCTCATTTAAAAATACTTGATGCTACTCGTATAATTTATAAGATACAACTGGTGAGATATAGCCAAAATGTACCAAAACTGTACTTTAATACACAATTATCAAATATAATTTCTTATCAGGTACAGGTCATTCTCCCCCCCCTCCCCCCCCAAATGATTCTCATAAATACCTTGTTTACTAAAAATCAAGGAAAAACTGGGAAAATTTTTTGGGAAGAGTTCCATGTTATTTTCAAATATTATTCAAATAATATTTTTATTTAATTAGTGTTTGGTGCTGCCCAGGTTGAGAAGTGGACGGCATATAAATTTAATAAATAAATTTTAAAAGGCCTTCTGTCTTTCTGCCCATGTTTCAGGGGTGACACTTCCAGAACTTTCCGAGCAGTTTGCCCCACCTGAAGTCGCCCCACCTCTGCTGTGTAGGCTGGTGGATGTGATTGAGAAGAAAGGTGAGCCAAAGGAGACAGCTGGGTAGTATGAGATTTTGGCCCAGAGGCAGCGTCTGCAAGCTACATATGGGATATTGGTATGGAGGGTACCTCTTGAAGCTTCCCTGCTGATGTTAAGACAGTCTGGATGGAAGACCACCTGGTGCTTTATAATGGGCACTGAATTATATGATGGAGAATAAAGAGTCAGTGTGACCTAGTGATAAATGGGTTGGGTTACCTAGATTTTTTGTCCATTTTCAACCACAGGAGCTCATGGGGTAGCTTTAAGCCACTCTCTCAATCCAATTTACCTCACAGGGTTGTTGTAGAAAAAATGAAGGAGGGAGCAGAACCCTATTGATGCTTAGCTTGAATTCTTGAGCAAAAAAAGCAAGATATAAATGTAAGAAGTAAAAGCAAGCAAATAAATGGCTTGTTGATACTGAATGGAGTATAAATAGTTCTCGGGTAGCCGTTTTTTTAAAAAAAAAAATTAAATTTCTATTGTTAATCCCTTGTTTTCTAGATAGCAAGGACTTAATAGAAGGGAAGAATCATACTCCAGAGCTGGTGGCTCAGAGACATTCTGGCTTAGGGGGGTTGCTGGTTCAAAAGAGGCTTGTGGCCAAAATCGGCAAACTAATGTTAAATCTTATGTTTATGTTAAATCTTATGTTAAATCTTCTCAAAACCCTGGTTAAGATTTAGCATGTTGGGTGCCCAGACAAAGTGGAGTTGAAGAGAGGAATATATTGGCAGGGTACTTCCTGTGGTTAATTATTTTAAGAGGGAGGATGTATTGAAAAGCTGCCTTCCCTCCCTTTCTGGAAAGGCTGATCCCCCGGGATGCTGGCTTACCAAGATTTCAGCTCTGTGGCAAAAGTAGAGAGACCTCCATGAGTCAATCTGGTATAATGATTAGAGTAACAAGCGAGGATTGGGGAGGCCAGATTCATAACCTGAGCTGTGGAAGCTCATCGGGTGACATTGGCCCAATCAGTCCCCTTCTGCCTATCCTAACAGGGTTCTTGGTGTAGGAATGAAATCAGTGTTTCCTAAGCATTTTAAAGAAAGAATGGGACACCAAAGCATAAATACGAAGGTGCGCAGGTGGGCAAACAGGGAAAGAAAACAGTTCCTTTTCCTAAGCACTCGCCCTACTCCTTCATTTTTATTTCCCTGCCCCCAAAGTGCAGCGTGCCCAGCTCCCTGCCTCCCACTCTCCCCAGGAAGGGGAAAAAAAAAAACCTCCTTTGTGAAGCTAATCCAATCTGCTGTGTGTTGCTTTCACAGGGTTAGACAGCAAGATGCTCTACAGAACATCTGGCTCCGAACTAAGGCAAGCACTGAGAACCGGTAAGAACCAGTTCTGCGGGGAGCAAGCAAGGCTGATGGAAGAGATTAGAGGCTGCAGCAGCAGCAGCAGCAGCAATGCCTGCATTCAGAGCTTCTCAGCAGCAGATCCCAGCAGGGAGGGCAGAAGCAAAGGGGTGAGCAAGTGGAGAGGGGGCAGAGCGCTTCTTTCTGGTTGAAAAAGCCGGAAGGCACCCTGTGAGTCGTGAGCCCATTTCAGTTAACTCACTCTAAATTCAAAAGCGGAGGGAGGCCGGATGGTTATACCACCCATCTGCAGTGCTCTGAATATTTGTCTGTGGGTTTGGGTGGCCTTGTGTTCTGCAGGCAGAAGATCTTAGGACATTGCCAAATTGGCCACCTCACCCTAAATGGACTGTTTGGGCTGGCAGAAGGCCACTGTTGTTCAAGATCTACTTGGATTTTCTGTATGCGTAGGAAGAGAAAACAAATTGGGAAACACTGGACACATTTAAATTTGGGAAGCATATTTTGGGCCCTCTACTTGCAAAATGGCGGCCACTGGAGGGGGAGGGGGTGTCGTACATTCACAACATGGCTGCCACGGTAGGGATAATTAGTCACCAACCACTCACCTACCAGAACAGATAAGCTTGCTTTTTGTCACCATCCCTAAAATAGCCCTGCCCTCAAATTTCTGGCTATCTCAGTTTACCTTTGTCAGGGAATGGTGATCCTAGACACGTTCCCATTTTTATTTTCTAAACTCACATTGGGTTCATTTTTTTTAAAAGGACCCAATACTTGATGGTGCTTTGTTCCTGGATTTCTCCTGAAAGTCAACTTTTGCTTAGATTGGCCGCCATGTGCGTGGATGCCAAAATCACCAGCAGCCACACTGGGTGCATCTCTGAACTGTCAGCTGCCATGTTTGAATTCCTTCCGTTGATTTTAGCCCACCCAAGTTAGTTTATGTCATCTGGGAAGTGCTTGTATTAAAAGTGCTTGTGTTGAACTTTAAGGCAACTGGAGCATCAGAAGGCCTAGTAGGCGTCATAAGAAGATCTACGAGCGGTGTCTGCTGTTCGGTGGTGGGATTCAGCCGGTTGTTAAGGCGAGGGAAGGAGAAGGCCGCTTTCCCTCTTCCTTCTCCCTGCTCCTCCTTCCCTTGTGCCGGCTGCTCTGTTTCCCATTTCTCCATTGTAGCGCAGCATCCAGGATCTACTTTGATAGCCGTGTGTGTGTGTGTGTGTAATTTAACAACCGGTTTGCCCAGGTTGAGGTTGGCAATTGCGGGAGGCTCATCCCGCATGTGTGGCAGAGCTGGAGGATGGAGATGGGCCACGCCTCCCACGACAGCCAACGTGACCCTGGGCGAACCAGTTGTTAAATTATTTGAATCCCACCACTGCTGCTGTGGGTAGAGGCTGGATGCAATAATGAGCCAATAATGATCCAACCGTAGTCCAACACGCCATATTTAAGACCTATAGAGTCAAGGTGCCAGAAAGTGATGGTAGAGCCCTTGCTTGAGTCCTGCCTGCGTTTCCCATTGTCAGAATCATCAGGAGAGTCTCGGTGCTGTCATCTGGGACAGAGGTCCCCCAACTTGGCAACCTTAAGACTTGTGGACTTCAACTCCCAGAATTCCTGAGCTAACATGACCGGAGGAGGAATTCTGGGAGTTGAAGTCCACAAGTCTTAAAGCTGTCGAGTTTGAAGACCTGTGATCTGGGAGGTGGAAACCTGGACAGAATGAACTAGGGTCAGCTTCTGTGGGTGGCTTCCCGGAACAAATTCTCACTCACTGTTTCTGTCCCTGCAGACTGGGCGGTGACTGGCTGTGATTTGGAGGCCTTAGATGTGCATTCCCTGGGTGAGGCTCTCAAGGGATACCTGCAAGATCTGCCGACCCCCGTGGTACCCCCTTGCGTGCAGGGCGAAATCTTACGAGTGCTCCAAGGTGAGAAGAGCATTTTAGGGAAATAAAAGCTGCAGAGGGGAGCTTAGGGAGGAGAGAAGCACGAACAGCTGCAAGCTGGGACAAAGGCCAGGAAGTTTGGGACTGGCAGGAGAGGAGAGCCTTTTAAAAAAAAATAAACACTGACTTAAATCCTTTTTGCCTGCCTTGTACCCGGAAAGGCTCTAGCGCAGCTTATGTAAAATCAGTAAGAGAGATATTCGTCCAGTGTAAAATATACAGAATTAAAAGAGAAATGGCTGAGAAGGAAAGAAACAATCAATCAATCAATCTGGGCATTGGCTCTTAATGTTCCCTAATAAAAACAATCTCAGAGATGGGAGATGCCATAAAGAGCAGGACTGACATCATATCCCGATTCTCTGCCTTTGCTTCGGCCTCTGTTTTCTTAAACACCCCACAGTCATTTGCCCTGTAACTTCTGGATTCCCGCCATGGTTCCTTCTCCCAGGATTTAATTTGAACGCTTAGTGGGGTTCTAGGTATGTAAGGAGTGCCAGTTTCCTGAGTCTTCCTAGCAGACATAGACATGTTTCAGTATGCCCAACCTTTTGGTGCAAAGACGCACAGATTTGCTCTCGCCTCGCTCTCTTTTCCTTTTGGAAACCGACTCCTCTTCCTCTCTAGATGTTCCCCAACCGGAGCTTTGTCAAAAGCAGTTGCTTTCGGTGTTGGAGTCTCCAGCCATGCCTCTGCCACACCTCCTCACCTTCCAATTCCTGCTCCGGCACTTTTCCAAGGTGGCTGAACAAGCTGAAAGCAATGGGTTGTCTCCTCGGAATCTGAGTGAGATCTTCGGGGTTCTGCTCCTTCGGCTCCCTGCAGCTGCCAGGTGGGTGGCCCCCAAACCCCCTCTGCCTTGGGGCAAGGATGCTCCCTTTTATATCAGCACCCCTGAAAATACAACAGGGGGCTGGAAATCCATCTGGAAGGTTGCTGAGCCAGAAGTGCCCCCAATCCTTGTTTAAATTGGAGCTGACGTCTATTTAATTTTTGTAATTTTAATGCTTCCAATATTTATAATTGTTTTTATAGTTCTATTTTTTTTTTTTTTTTTGCATTGCATAGCATTGCCTTGCATTGCCTAAGCAGGGGGTTGGACTAGAAGACCTCCAAGATCCCTTCCAACTCTGTTTATTCGATTCTATTCTATTCTGAGTACTTTGGATAGCGAGGTGAATGGCGTATAAATTTAATAAAAATAAATAAAGAGAGGATGGAATGGGGAGGTCTTTTTTAGATGAGAGAAGACCCCCCACCCACCTACCCCAAAAAAGACCTCTACAACAGTGAAACAGCCTACCTATGGAAGTTGTGGGTTGTCCTATCTCTGGAAGCTTGTAAGAAGATGCTGGGCTGCCATGGTTATGAGCATGGTTAAGTTGGTGTGGGACACATTGCCAAGGGTAGGATTAGATGGTCCTTGTTGTCCCTTCCAATTCTACGAAGAGACTGGCATGTTTATGGATTTGGATTCTGAGGGGTCCTTGGTGCTCTCTGACCTTGGTTGTTTTTTTTCCAGACATTTCATTACCCAATAAGCGCTGATGATGTTACCTAGTTGGAAATATCTGCAAGGAAACAACCAAGCTCAAGAGAGCACCAAGAACCCCCCCACCCCCCACCCCCAAATTTCAATCCTGAGCTACTTATATTCTCCTTTATTTAATTTTGATTCTGTTTGGACTTCCAGTCAGAAGTTAGGATTTGGTCGGGGCAGACCAAATATATGGCAGCTTCTGGCATGAAAGGCATGATGATGTTACCTAGTTTGGGTAGTGAAATGCCTGCAAGAAAGCAACCAAGCTCAAGAGAGCACTAAGGACCCCTCCTTTCAACCCCAAACTTACCAAATATTCTCTGTCAATGAAAGAGGAAAAAAACTGTATGTTCAGAAATTATTTCACCAAATATTCTCTGTCAATGAAAGAGGAAAACCTGTATGTTCAGAAATTATTTTACCAAATACTCTCTGTCAATGAAAGAGGAAAACCTGTATGTTCAGAAATTATTTCACCAAATATTCTCTGTCAATGAAAGAGGAAAAAACCTGTATGTTCAGAAATTATTTCACCAAATATTCTCTGTCAATGAAAGAGGAAAACCTGTATGTTCAGAA